ACGATTAGAAGTGTTGCCGCTTTGGTCCTTTACCTGGAAGAAACGCTGAAACAAAGTAGTGTTTACATGCTTTTCTTCTAATGATAGATAGCAATCCAACGGTGCAGATGTTCGGAACAGTAATTCGTGCCGTTAACAACACCAACATCAATTACGACACCAACAACAGCAGCAATTATAACAATCACTACAAGGATAAAACCTGTGAAACCATTTAAAAAATTCAGTCTCGGCATGACAGTCCGTCTTAGTATATTACTGTTACTACTGCTACTGCTACTACTTCTTTAACCGTTCAAAATTTTTCAGGGGAAACGATATTAACTCAGCAGTGAAATTGAGTGAGAAATGTTTGCAACCACAATTTTGTTGCTTCATTGAAATCTTTAAACATTTTCTTTTTAGCACAACAAACTATTATTGAACCTCACCAGTAACATTTCGCTCTTTTTCTTAATACTTACGTTTATGTGAAACCAAATCAACAGAACTTCAAAATTTATTTGTCTTCTAGAATCTCAAATTTAGTTCATTTAATTTGCCACACTCTTGCTGAAGTGTCTTGTTTGGAAGAGAAAGCCAATGATTGACACACAAGTGCGAAACTCTTCCTAAGTTACATTCGTCTTGTTCCTGACTAAGCAATACTATTACTGACAATAGGAGAAGCAAGAACTTTACCAATTGGTTGAAAAGCACCGTAAGAACTTCTCTACCTTCCCTGCTGCATTGTCGTCCTTCTTCCAACTTTGACCTCTGCAGAGTTCACCTAAGCCATTCTCACTGCTTAAAATCTTTATTCCGATTTTAAAACTTAACTTGTGTTTTCAAAAAAAAGGTATAAAAAAGCACTTAAAAGTAATTTATTAATTATGTGACACTTGTCTTGTAAACTGTGAAAAAGCAAAAGCATGACATCAAGTATTCCCTCCTTAACATTTGTCTTTTAAACTGTAAAAAAGCAAGAGTATGACATCAAGTATTCCCTCCTTAACTAAAAACAATTCGTGGTTTCTTTTATTTGCCTCTTACAGCAGAAAATCTATTAGTCAATATTTATTTAGATCTAGCCTTTAAACACAGAATTACATAACATAATGCGCTTTAATATAAAAATGATAACGTATCACTTTGTAAATTTCCTAATACTTGCCTGAAAAATATAATTATTTGCTTTTTTTTAATCATATGTTTGGTTTTAAATCTTAACTATAAGTTTTTATAAATTATTTAACTAAAAACCACTTTTAACTATAGGTATATTTTTATTTTTCACTTTTTTCAATTACTGCGACAATAATAATAATGAAAATAACTAGTTGCTCTAACTTATACATCAGTAACCGCAGCTTAATAAGGCATGTGCTAATAAGAGAAAGCAATTCAAATGGATTGAGTTCAAAATAAATTGAGAAAAAGTGACCTGAAACAAAAAATTATATTTTGCAGCCGAATGCCGAACTATTTGCCGCAATAAAAGATGTTGTCAACAAATTTCGGGCGTCTATTGATCAGTCGGGTTTACAACAAGACGTACGACATATGGGGACTCAACTACAAAACACCTGGGATCAACTTCGAAGAGGTTTGAATCGAAGCTGGGATACGATACGGCAGAGCGCTGAACTGAGTGTTCAACCACATTCAGGTCCTGTGAACGAACAACTCGGACGATTGTTTGAACGTGCACAACAGGTTGTCGCCGATGCAGTTACAGAAGAAGGACCACACCGATATTTCCGACGCGGATAATAAACTGATCAACCTAATTTATACAGTCAAAGAACTTCAATTTTATTGATACCATACGTTAGTTATTTACTGTTATTAATAAAATCCGTTGTTTCTTCTGAGACCAGTCCACTTTAGCAACAAAGAATTTTTAGCAGTTATGTATATGAAAGAAATATATTTTGGTTTACAGAGCTGGTGTTTAAATCATTAGCTATTATTCCTTACTGATTCCGAAAAATCTCAAAATTAATTTATTATTATTGT